TTCCTATGGTGCTTGTTCACATATGTCCAGTGCACTACTGGTGCAGATTCAGTGCGGTTTTTAGGAGTCATGTCCAATTTCTGAGCAGTGCGGTCCGGTTCAGGTGCGGATTACAGGCTATTGACTTCTATGGGACCGTTTTTAAACCACTTACGTGTGAACAAGATGAGATCCTGAGCTGAACCTGACGTAAACTTGATGTGAACCTGTGAACAAGTACTGTATCAATTGGCTGTGAAATCTGAGCTTCAGTCCACACCGCACATATGTGAATCGGCTTCACAGCAGGTTGCCCACAGTTGAGATGCCATCGTTCGGGTGAGCATATTGCTGGACAGGTGAGTGTGTGTTTATTAAAAGTCAGCAGCTACAGTTTTTGTAGCTGCTGACTTTTTAAAAATGAGCTCCAATCATTTTTGTGTTAAGACACAGTTCATGTTTACCAAAAAAAAGCCTTTTTTTAAAAATTTATTTCAGGTCTTTTTATAGCGCCGTCAATTTACACAGCGCTTTACATATAGTCAGGTCCATAAATATTGGGACATCGACACAATTCTAACATTTTTGGCTCTATATACCACCACAATGGATTTGAAATGAAACGAACAAGATGTGCTTTAACTGCAGACTGTCCGCTTTAATTTGACGGTATTTCCATCCAAATCAGGTAAACGGTGTAGGAATTACAACAGTTTGCATATGTGCCTCCCACTTGTTAAGGGACCAAAAGTAATGGGACAGAATAATAATCATAAATCAAACTTTCGCTTTTTAATACTTGATTGCAAATCCTTTGCAATCAATTACAGCCTGAAGTCTGGAACGTATAGACATCACCAGACGCTGGGTTTCATCTCTGGTGGTGATGCTCTGCCAGGCCTCTACTGCAACTGTCTTCAGTTCCTGCTTGTTCTTGGGGCATTTTCCCTTCAGTTTTGTCTTCAGCAAGTGAAATGCATGCTCAATCGGATTCAGGTCAGGTGATTGACTTGGCCATTGCATAACATTCCACTTCTTTCCCTTAAAAAAAACTCTTTGGTTGCTTTTGCAGTATGCTTTGGGTCGTTGTCCATCTGCACTGTGAAGCGGCGTCCAATGAGTTCTGAAGCATTTGGCTGAATATGAGCAGATAATATTGCCTGAAACACTTCAGAATTCATCCTGCTGCTTTTGTCAGCAGTCACATCATCAATAAATACAAGAGAACCAGTTCCATTGGCAGCCATACATGCCCACACCATGACACCACCACCACCATGCTTCACTGATGAGGTGGTATGCTTAGGATCATGAGCAGTTCCTTTCCTTCTCCATACTCTTCTCTTCCCCATCACTCTGGTACAAGTTGATCTTGGTCTCATCTGTCCATAGGATGTTGTTCCAGAACTGTGAAGGCTTTTTTAGATGTCGTTTGGCAAACTCTAATCTGGCCTTCCTGTTTTTGAGGCTCACCAATGGTTTACATTTTGTGGTGAACCCTCTGTATTCACTCTGGTGAAGTCTTCTCTTGATTGTTGACTTTGACACACATACACCTACCTCCTGGAGAGTGTTCTTGATCTGGCCAACTGTTGTGAAGGGTGTTTTCTTCACCAGGGAAAGAATTCTTCGGTCATCCACCACAGTTATTTTCCGTGGTCTTCCGGGTCTTTTGGTGTTTGCTGAGCTCACCGGTGCGTTCCTTCTTTTTAAGAATGTTCCTAATCAGTTGTTTGGCCACGCCTAATGTTTTTTCTATCTCTCTGATGGGTTTTTGTTTTGTTTTTTCAGCCTAATGATGGCTTGCTTGACTGTTAGTGACAGCTCTTTGGATCTCATCTTGAGAGTTGACAGCAACAGATTCCAAATGCAGATAGCACACTTGAAATGAACTCTGGACCTTTTATCTGCTCATTGTAATTGGGATAATGAGGGAATAACACACCTGGCTGTGGAACAGCTGAGAAGCCAATTGTCCCATTACTTTTGGTCCCTTAACAAGTGGGAGGCACATATGCAAACTGTTGTAATTCCTACACCGTTCACCTGATTTGGATGTAAATACCTTCAAATTAAAGCTGACAGTCTGCAGTTAAAGCACATCTTGTTCGTTTCATTTCAAATCCATTGTGGTGGTGTATAGAGCCAAAAATGTTAGAATTGTATCGATGTCCCAATATTTATGGACCTGACTGTATATATTGTACATTCACATCAGTTCCTAACCCTCAAGGGGTGTACAATCTAAAGTCCATAACTCACATTCATACATACACATTGTCAAGAGAACCAGAGAGCACACAGAGACAGATTGCACGGAACCCAATGTGCAGGCTTTTATTTGGGAGGTTTTTGGTGCACAGACAACAGTTCCGTTAGTCCACAGATCCACACCAGACACAGCAACACAGTAAAGTTCTTGGGAAGGCAATATGGAACAACGGGTATGGAAATCCACAGGGTTCAGTAAGGCAAGGGCAGGGTGGTTTTGTGGGACTTCGGGTTCCTGGGGAAAATTGGGTTCAGTCCTTTGGGCAGCATGGGGTTCGTCCACTTACTGGATGCAGGGAGCCGGACACAGAGGGCTACAGTCCCACACAGGCAGCTCCAGGCAGGGAAGATCTCAAGCCCGCAGGCTTACAGGGAACAAGAGGTAATTCCAGGCAGGGAAGAGGTTCCAGATAGCAGAGAGTTCACCCCACACAGGAGAGGATCCAGCAGACGGGCAGACTGGTCAGCCAGGGAGATGAGGACGACGGGGGATGGTCGGGTGAGAGAAGCTGGCCCTCAGCAAAGCCTTCTCTCACACACGCAGCCAGGAGAACACAAAGGGGGTTTTCTCCTTGCTCTCCTCATCTTACGTAAAGAGCTGGGCAACTTGCTGCCATCGCATTGGTAACCCCAAAACTTTCCTTGCTCTCTCTTACGTAGAGAGCTGGGCAACTTGCTGCTGCAGTGGTAACCCAAAACTTCCTGTTGGGTTACCATGGCAACGGGTCCTGTCTCCAGACCTGCCCAGGGAACACGGCCTTGGCATGGAGCCTGGGAAGATGTGCATGAGGGGGGAAGGGAGGAGGGGGCCTGTTTTGGATTCCCTCAGCAGGGGCCAGACTGCCAGGGACAGGGGGGTGAGGGGCTGCTGGAGAGGGCTGCCTGTGTCAGAGACACGGAGGACTAGAGGTCCCAGCATGGACGGGACAGAAGAGTGAGGGGCTGCTGAGGAGTGGGGGGTGGCAGGCAGCAAACCTGGAGGATGGGGAAGGAAGGACCAGGTCCGTGACACATACTAGGGCCAATTTAGACAGAAGCCAGTTAACTTACCAGCATGTCTTTGGAGTGTGGGAGGAAACTGGAGTACCCAGAGGAAACCCACACAGGCACGGGGAGAACATGCAAACTCCAGGCAGGTGGTGCTGTGGTTGGGGATTTGAGCCAGCAACCCTAGTACTGCCAGGAGGAAGTGCTAACCATTTAGCCACTGTGCTGCCTATGCAGGTAAAGGACATCTGTAGATAAAAACGAACTGTGTAGGTTTGATCAAAGTTGAATAATACCCTTTCTATAGCTGTAGGCAATTTACATGCCTCCTGAAGCCTGAATGAAAAACTCCCATAGAATTGGCATCATCCCATCCTGACTTGTTGCTAGGAGGTTGCTTATACAATCATAGCCATTACTGCTCCCCCCCCCCCCACCATCAGAGGAGCAAGCTCTTGAATGCTGAGCTCAGAGCTACAGCATCAAGGAAGAAGAGAGTGCATGCAAGATGGTTTGATTCATAGAAAAAACTCCCTCCTGTGATGGTGAAGGTGAACACCTGGGAGTGTCTCAGTAACGGCCTAGCAACAAGGCAGCACGAATGATATTTCTGGAGTTTTTTGGCCAGGCTTCAGGAGGTACGTAAATTGCCTACACCAAGGGTATTATTCAACTTTGGTCAAAGCTGCAGAGTTTGTTTTTACCTACAGGCACCCCTTCCCTGCATAGGAATATTTTTTGGTAAAGGTGAACTATGCCTTTAAGGTTGGCCATAGACTGCTGTTCTTAAAAAAACAAAACAAAAAACAAAAACAAATGAACCATCTCTGGTTGCTGTAACTGAAATTTGGCCATCCTTCTCTGATATTTTTCAAAGCAAAGGGTTTATTTTAATGCCCCCCTCCCCACCCCAGCAGCACACACATTTCCTTCACTGATCCATTGTTTTGTACAGCCACCAAGAACAAGGAAAACACTCAGCGCTTCCTCTCATGTTAAGGTTTGGTAATTAGCCCAGTCATGACACATCGTGGCAGGGAGAGAGTCCGTCAGCCTGTGTAAGCTCAAAAACGTGAAACAGCATAAACAAGGCTTTCTGTATAGGGGATCACACTTTAAAGCAGATATCTTGCTTTGCTCATCATAGGCAAAACACAGGTTTACTTTAAAGTGACTGTTGCTAAACTAAAAAGGTACTTTGCTGAATCTTCCCTTCCAATATCTTCCCTGCCTGCCTTTGTGAATACAGGATCACTAAAATAATCAGAAAAAGACCAATAAGACCTTGAAGATCCACTCCACCCAAGTAGATTGATTTTGAGTAACCTGGAGCAAGGTTCAGTCCACCATCTCATTGTTTGGGTCCCTGGAAGAAGGATGGGACCTTCTCTGCAAGCACAGCTATGTCAGGCACACGTTCTCTGAAAGATACATGTATTTACTGGGAGGTGCAGAATCCCAAATGCAGTATCCTGTGGGTTCTCCATCTGAACACAGTATATGAATAAATCACAAGCCAATGAGACCATTTGCTCGGCTGAAAAGTTACACGTTCATAGAGGTGCACCTTTATGCTATGTCATACATGAGAATTTGTGAATATATGTGTATGCTAGAATAGCATTTTGTAAGTCCTCCTCTTTGTATACTGATGATGACATTAATTATGTACTGTGTGACAGTGGAGGGAAGGTTAACTTGCCATTGGATATCTTATTTGTGGATACTTGCATGTTACTTATATGTTTTTCTTTTCTCCATAGCTGATTTTTTTTAACAGCCTAAAAAAACTTAGAGAAATGCATGAAAGATTTACCAAGAACACGTCGGATGATGAAAAGGATGTAAAGGTACGCCCTTTTTTTTTTTTTTTTTTTTTTTTTTCTTTTTTTCACTTGTTTAGTGTGGAAAGTACATGTCAGCAGGAACCGAGACACTGGTCATGTTTTGCTCTCTCAAAATTTTATAAGAGTTGGTTTGTGATGATTTATGTTAACAGTTGTAGTACTGTGCAAACATGGCTGTGTTACAGTCTTGCAATTATTTTTGTCATTGGGGCAGACTCCTGCAGTGGATCTGCCTGCTCAGCGGGGGATCTGTCCACTGAGCGGGCAGATAAGTCCGTGACTTGCAGAACGGACACAGACACTGCCTGCTTTTCTATATGGACGGTCGGACGTAAACGGAACACCTGTCCATTTATATTCAACTGTTATCTGTTCTGCTAGATCAGGAATCCTCAAAACTTTTTAAACGGGGCCAGTTCACTGTCCCTCAGACCATTGGAGGGCCGGACTATAGTTTCAAAAAAAGAAAAAAAAAAACCTATGAACAAATGCAGACACAGTACAGGAGATGACCAGAGACTGCGGACATACAACGGCGGTGGGAATACTGGGCCGGCCACTCCATAAGATGCACAGACATTTTCCCCAAGTGTGTCTTATGGAACGAAATAGTGCCCCATCATTGGTGTCAGTGGGAAGAATAGTGCCCCATCATTGGTGTCAGTGGGAAGAATAGTGCCCCATCATTGGTGTCAGTGGGAAGAATCGTGCCCCATCATTGGTGTCAGTGGGAGGAATCGTGCCCCATCATTTGTGTCAGTGGGAGGAATAGTGCCCCATCATTGGTGTCAGTGGGAGAAATAGTGCCCATCATCATTGGTGTCAGTGGGAGAAATAGTGCCCCATCATTGGTGTCAGTGGGAGAAATAGTGCCCCATCATTGGTGTCAGTGGGAGAAATAGTGCCCCATCATTGGTATCAGTGGGAGGAATAGTGTCCCATCATTGGTAATCAGTGGGAGGAATAGTGCCCCATCATTGGTGTCAGTGGGAGGAATAGTGCCCCATCATTGGTGTCAGTGGGAGGAATAGTGCCTCATCATTAGTGTCAGTGGGGGAAGAATAGTGCCCCATTGTTGGTGTCAGTGGGGGAAGAATAGTGCCCCATTGTTGGTGTCAGTGTGGGGGGGGGGGGATAGTGCCCCGTCATTGGTGTCAGTGGGGGAAGGAGATAGTGTCCCAACATTGGTGTCAGTGGGGGAAGGGGATAGTGTCCCCAACATTGGTGTCAGTGGGGGAAGGGGATAGTGTCCCAACATTGGTGTCAGTGGGAGGAATAGTGTCCCAACATTGGTGTCAGTGGGAGGAATAGTGTCCCAACATTGGTGTCAGTGGGAGGAATAGTACGTCATTGGTGTCAGTGGGGGGATAGTGTTCCAACATTGGTGTCAGTGGGAGGAATAGTACCCCATCATTGGTGTCAGTGGGGGAAGGAATAGTGTTTCATCGGTGTCAGTGGGGGGGAGGAATAGTGCCCCATCCTCGCGGAAAATACGCCCCTGCCGGCAGGCCGGTTAAATGGCCTCGACGGGGCGCATGTGGCCCGCAGGCTGTAGTTTGAGGACCCCTGTGCTAGATGGATGGAGAATGGATCCCTATTCATCTGTTTCTAGTGGATCGAATGCAGGCAAGTGTAAACAGACACGTTCTTTTACATCCACCACTCCATAGAGAACAATGTATGGTCCGATTTGGGTCTGCCTCAGAAACAGACAAGACGATCCCAATCGGTTTACCCATGTGAAAGGGGCCTAAGAAGATCTCTGCATTAGCCGGAAGTTGGAAGAGAAGGGAGCTGCTTTTTTTGCTTTATGAACTGAACTCTGGAAGCTGTGTGCCCCCAAAAAATATGGTCTACTTGCAGCTGGTCTTTGCTTTACTGCTGAATTAACATGCCTTATTCTGTGCCATGTGTCTGTGTGGAGGTGACAATCTTAATAAGAGGAAAGACTTTTGCTTCCTAATATTGGAGCCTTTAGCTATAACAGTGAGCAGCACAGCAATGATGATATTGCCAAAGCTTGTGAAACTAGCAGCCAGGAGCAGCAGTGCCTTAGATCTCAAACTCTCAAACTGCAGATATACAACTATGAAGCAGTTTGTATATACATACTACATAAAAAACAGAACTACCTCTACACCCCCCCCCCCCCTTTTTTTTTTTTTTTTTTTTTTTTTTTTTTTTTTTTTTTTAAATCACATTCCCTCTGTTCTTACCTGCATAACAGCAAGGGGAGGAGAAACGGCATTACACTGATCTTCCTAGTAATAGGCTGTGCAGGGGTGTGTGTCAGGATCATTGGAGGAGTGCAGGCTGAGTTCCTAGCACAGGCAGAAAAAACTGACCAGGCTGTGTTTTCTCATGCCTAGTGTGGTCAGTTTTTAATAGGAAAGCGGAGGGACTGGCAGGAACCCCAGGGATTTCACAAAAAGGAAGCATTACAAAGAGAACTTGATAGGTTTTCATACAAGTACATGGTACAACAGGCACATATCAGGAATATGAAATGTTGGGTTTACTTATTCTTTGATTCATTCCCTGCATTAAAGTGATTGTAAATCCTTACATATACCCAATGAAGAAGGAAAAAAAAATCTTCTAATGTTTTACTGGGCAACAATTCACATTTATAAGAGCCCGTTTACACTACCTGCATTGATCAGGTGCAGAAAAATGCTAGTCACTGTGCATATCTTATACAGGCATCCAAATATTTCCTTTTTAACGCATCAAATCTTAATTTTTCAGTTCAGGTCCACTTTAATGTATATGTAAACCCTAAAGATATAACCTTTTGTGTATAGAAAAAAAACATAATAAATTCCACTTTTTCCCGCCACCTCCTTTTTTTTTTTTTTTTTTTTTTTTTTTTTTTTTTTTAATCACATTCCCTCTGTTCTCAGCTACATAGGTGGTGGTGAGAGAGGAGAAACATCAGTACACTGGCGGGGAGGGGAGGTGTCAGGACAAGTTTGATCATTGAAGAACCGCATAGCTAGAGAACTGGCCATGCTCTGCTATCCTCCCTAGTGTGGTCAGTTTTTATTAGGAAAGCAGAGTGACTATCAGGAACACCAGGGATTTCAGATGGAGGAAGCGATACAAAGAGAACAGGAATATGAAATGTTGGTTTTACATATTCTTTGAGTAAAACCATGCTTCCCCCTGTAACTGATTTGAGACCACTGTCTGAGGTGGTACATGCCAACACCTCTCTCCCAGTAGATGTTTTATCAACTGTCAAAGATGCCAAAAAAAATAGCAAAGTCCTTCATTTGAAGCATCTTATCAGAATGACATGTAAACAACCACACTTACAGGTTTTATATCCACACCTAGCCTTAATCTTTGCTCATTCTGCCACCAAAGTGATCACCATAGAAGATTTTCTGCAAGCAAATCGGTACACTTTTGAAGTGCCAATTATTATTTGCATGGCAAGCCAATTGAAATACAGGTAGCAGAATGAGTATCCTGAGCCTCCAGCTTTGTCGCCATAGAGAACTTTGGCCAAAAAAATGTTCCCAGTTCCCAGGCTGTATCGTATTAAAAAAAAAAAGTGTTGAGAAAAAGTGTTTGTGCATTAATGTTTCAAGAAATTCTTATAATTATTGCAGTTTTTTTTAGTATTTTGTATACCTTTGCTGGGATATAATAGTTAGGCCCCTTTCAGCCAGATGGACTCTCACCAATGGAAAGATCCCCCACTGAGCAGGTGGATGACCGCTGTCTGCTCTGCTTATGCAGAGCAGACATGGATACAGCCTGCTTTCCTCTGTGGGTATTTGGATGTAAACGGACAGCCTGTCCGTTTACATCCAACTGCCATCTGATCCGATCCGCTAGACGAATGGGGAACAGATCCCCGTTCGTCTGTTTTAGCTTAATGAATCAGATACAAGCAGGTGTAAATGGACACTCCTCCTTAGAGGGCAATGGGGCCTTATTTTTGCACAGGAAATAAAAAAAAGTAAATATTTTTACATACAGTATATATTCATTATAAAAACGTTTATTGAAAAGTTATTTTTGTATGAAATGTATGAAAACAAATGTAACACGATGAAATTATACAATATTGGGTCAATTCATACCACATGAATTTTGAGTTAAAATAATCCGTGAAGTGTTTATCTAAAAAGTAGTCAATTTGTTAAAACAAAAATGCATTATTTACCAAATGTGCTTTAAATATTTTTGTTTTGTGTTATTTTTGCTGTTTCTTTTCGGCTAACGCTGCCCTAGAAGGCACTCTGCAATATTGTGAAAGTATGAAAACGTAGTGTGCTGTCATTCACAAAACCATCTCCCTCTGATGAAATGTTACCATTTATTTTCATTCCTGAGTTCAGAGGAGAACATTTTCACACTGATACGTTGTATACCTTTCACTTTCTGGCCAGTGCAGAGTTCCTCTAATTGTTTTGTACATTTCTAAAATGCTGCCAGCAAACACCAGGTGATAAATAACAAATGTGTGTGATATATATATATATATATTTATATATTTATTATTTTTTTTTTGTAAAGTGACTTTAATGATTTATCTTCTCTTTTTTTTTTTTTTTTGTGGTATTTAGCTCACTATTTTAACAAATGTGTGGCATTTACCCCACATTCGATATTTTTATGTTGAGTTGAATTGTATGCTGTGCATTGCTTTTTCTACTATACAAGTACTTGGGATAAATGTCACTCCTACTTTTTATGTGGCAGTTCCCATGTATAAAATGGTTTGCATGCCACATACTGGTGGGCTTATTTTGTAGCAAAAAAAAAAAAAAAATGGCCATATACAGGAAGGACTCTATAGCAACCAATCAGAAATTTGACCATTGTCTGTGATTCCTGCAAACAGCTGGAAGCTGTTCTGGTTGTTGTAGGTTGTTACACTCATATACAGCTCAGCCTATAAATGTAGTTTTTCCAATTTACTTCACTGGATTTCCATGTCCACAGTTATGTTCCACTTATATTTTAAGTTAAAACATGCCAATTTGTATACTTTTATTTTTGCCTCCTTTGCCCTTCAGTGGACATGACACTGACAAAAGGTAAGCTTGACACATATGTGGTGCTATATTTATATGGGTTCTGTATAATCTTCTTTTACTGGGATTGATTTTATTAAAAAAAAGTTACGCTACTGGGCTACATTAGCATAAATAAGATGCCACTTGTCTATTTTTGATTTGTGAATTAAGTGGGTTTTAGAACGGCCCTTTTTGGGGGTTTTTTTTTTTTTTTTTTTTTTTTTTTTTTTTTTTTGTTTAGCATGCATAGACCCTTTTTGAAGAGGGATATTTTTAAGTAAAACATTACCTAAACAAGGAACACTTGCAAAGTTTTTCTGAAGTATAAATATTCATGTTTAATGGTCTTTTAAAGGCATCCTGAGTACAACTCGCATTCCTCTGCTCTATAGTGGTTTTCTGAAATCTCAGACAAATCCTTCTTATATACAGTATACTGAAAGAGGTTGTTCGGCTTGAAGTGTGGGTGTAATACTTTTTATTTCCTGTTGCTTATTCAGGAAGACATGATTTCAAGTGTTTTGTGTTTGCTTATATCTAGGATACACTAAGGAAGAACATAGACATGGTTAATTTAGCATTTGATGATGAAACATATAAGGCTCTGGATTTAAAGAAAAAACAGTGTTTGGAGTTTATCAAACAGCAACAAACTACTGCTATAAAACGGCATGAAGTACGTAAGACAGCAATGGCTCATCAAAAAATCACAGTTGAAAGCCTTTTGAAGGATTGTGAAAGCCTTGTGGATGAATTTGAACCAAAAAGCTTTCTTCAGGTAATATTTAAAATTTGTATATTATTATACAACTGAGTTAAAAATGCAGATGCTTCCTGTAAGATCACACTATCATTATTTTTAAATAAAATAACAAACATGTTATACTCACCTGCTCTGTGCAGTAATATTTCATAGAGCGGCCCCAAACCTCCTCTTCTTGGGTTCCCCGCCATCAATATTGGCCCCTTCTCTTCTTTGCGTGTCCCCATAGCAAGGCGCTTGCTATGGAGGCACACAGTGTCTATGTGCTCCCGAGCTGTGTCTGTGGAGCCGCACTTCATAGACTTAAACAGTAGGACTTAGCGCTGCCCCCCCCCCCCCCCCCCCACTTACTCCTCACTGCATTTGATTGACTCGAGTCTCTGTGTAAAGAGGAAGAGAAGAGGGAATAGATGCAGTCATGCAACAGTGTTTGATTTATTCTCCCCTCTCTTCCCCTACACAAAGCAAAGTGGTGGGGGCAGTAAAATAGAAAATGTTTTTTACTTTAATGCAAGGAATGCATTAAAGTAAAAAATATTTTTAGCTTTAGTATGACTTTAATTCCAAAACAAATGTCTGTATATTAGCCTGCATTCACACCCGAGCGATTTTCTGCTTGAAGCTTGCAGCTCTAAAATGCTCAACAACCCAAATCCCATTTATCTCAATGGCCCCAGTTCACATGTGCTGTCTCCTGAAACAGCATGCCTGTTGCTCAAAAAAGTACATGAGCTTCTTTTGGCAGATTACAAGTGTTCTTCATTAGAAACCTCTGAAAATGTGTGACTTGGGCGTTTTAAGGAGCGGTTTGTCACACTTTCTGCTCAAACAGCAGCCCTCCACCCCTAATTTCCTCCACTTAGTGCTTTTTTGTTGGCTAAACAAAAATGCTTGAAGCTCTAAAACACTTGTAATATACTTACAATACACTTCTAAAAACGTTGCATAGTTATATTCAGGGACCAATTAACAGCACCACAGCAGCTTGTCATAGTGATTGCTAGAAATATGTTTGCTAATTTATATTTACTTATTTTATTTACTTTAAAGGTTTTGCACTTTAAAAATTAAAACCGCAAACCCATTTCATCAGTTCCAAAGCTCTAATCTATAAAATTCCCTCTTTAATTATTGGTGCACTTTAACCACACTATTTTAAAGTTAGTAAAAGTTTTTTTACATTAATGCATTCTCTGCATTGAGGTAAAAATCCTAACTGTAGTAGCAGCCCCCCCGCCCCTTCAAAACACTTACCTGTGTCTGATCTTGATCCAGTGCTGTCCTGTCTGCAGCAGTTCTTCTCCCCTCGCCCATCTTTCACAAGCTTGGCTGAGAGTCAGATATTGAGAGCAGGGATGGGGTGAAGCTGTGTGCGTCAATAAATGTACAGAGCTGACTTGGGATCAAGCACACACAAGTGCCCCCATAACAAGCTGCTTGCTATGGGGGCACTGGGAAGGGAGGGGGAGCTGAGCTTGTTGGAAGGGGACCTTAGAAAAGGAGGCTCAGGACAGCTCTGTACAAAACCATTGCACAGAGCAGGTAAGTATAACATGTTTGTTTAAAAAAGCTTTACAATTGCTTTCATTTCATGTGAGCTAAGACCATTGTGTGTGTGTGTGTATGTATATGTGTGTATATATAATATGACCACGGTATGAGAAATGGCATACAATTTAAAAATTGCGTACTTATTACCCAGCTGTTCCCATCATGTGTTTGTAAAATGACCCATATTTGAGATCCTTGCATTCAGGATAAATATGATTTAAAATGGATTCAGCAGTACTAACTGTCCAAACCTGTTGTGTTTTAAAATAATAAAAACAATGCATTTTTCACATTGCTTCCATTTACTAAGGCTAGATATGCGTTGTTCCCCTTGTGGCTGCATTTGAATGGGTTGCTGTATCCACTGAAAATTCAGGGAAAAGGTCCCTGAACCTTTTTCAGAAAAAGTGGCTGCAGGGAAACTGCATAGTGCAGTGCAGTTTCCAGTGCCTGTGGGTGTCATTAGGATTAATAGTACTCCACGGCCCATTTTTCTGTGCAGGTAGGTGCAGGAACAGGTGCGGTCTTGCAGCAGTTTTGTTGTATTCATGCACAGCAGGCAGCATGTGATCCTTTGCTCGACTTTCCCCTCCCCCAGAGCCTTCAACCTGCTTAGGTTAATTTTCTCTACACACAGACCAGCTAGTTAGTTTCTGCACCTGGATTTGACCCCTGGATCATAAGCTACAGCGGGCAATGGGATTGTAAGTTCAGCTGACACATGGGAGGACTTCTAGCTACACTGACAGTTTCCCCTGCAACCAGCACATTTCTCCCCCAGCCAGTCTTGATTGGAAGCCTGTGTACAACTGCATATATGCACTGGACCTTCTGCCAGCATTTATTTTTATTACTTAATTTGCTCATGAATGAGAATGCTTGCCTGCTCATTCATGAGAGATCACTGATGGAAACCTATGATCAGCTCCTCCTATACTGTCATGCCCAATGGCTACAAAGGATCAGGGTTACTTCTGAAAGTGACGTTTACTATCCCTTGCTAAACATGCCCACCAGCTGCTCTTAGACTCAAAAAGTAGAGGGATTGAAGTTACGTGACAGGCACTGAATGCTGCAAAATAAATGTATAAAAACTGTGATTTATTAAGCATATTCGGTATTTAAGCATAAGGCTTTTCTTTCACTTTAATTGAAAAACATTGGCCGATTAGCACTTTACACTGAATACTCATAGGATTACTTCATGCTGCCCTCCGTTGTCTCTCCTTAATTTTAAATTTGTGGGTGTACCACCACTGTGTCAGATTTTCTCGATGTTTTGTACCCAAGGGTATTTATGTTCTGTCCTTGCTGTTCTTTAAATGATTCTTCTGTTACATTGCAAACTTTCTTTCTTTTTCAGATGGCTTGCAGTCTAAATAAAAGGTCTGTAGAAATGATTGCTGTTGCTGTTTTTTAATCGTAATGTTGGTAAACAAACTCACTATTATGGCTTTTTATGCCATCTATACCCATTTCACGAGTGCCAGCTACGTCAACAGACGTACATGTTTTGGGACATGCAGGACATCTGGATAGATGTGAGGAGAAATTCTATAGAAATTCCATAGAAGGCAAAAGATAATTAGAACAATTATCCAATGAAAGTATTAAATTCTTTGTAGCATTATGTTTTTTTGTTTTACTTGGACTGATGTCTATGATAACGACTTGAGCGCCAGCGGCGTACCTGTACGTTGCTGGACTTTTAAGTGATCATACCAGGATGATGCCTGCAAACACGCGCATCATCCCAGTACTATTTATCGGAGCCAAAAGTGATCAAGAAAAAAAATTTCAAAGTGACAGTGTAAAAATTTAAAAAAAAGTAAAGACATATCTTGAAGCCCTCCTGTCCAAATTCTAAGTAATTATTTATCTAAAAATACGGATTTGTACATGTAGACAGTGTCAGAAAAGGCTTGGTCTTCAGGTGGTTAAGGAAAACCTATAGTGAAAGAATACGTAGGTTGTCATTGCTGAACTTTCCTAAATATGCTATTTGCCTGGTGGTTCCATAAATACAACGGTTGCAAGCTTTCTAGATGGCCGACCCTGAACTAGCATGCACATGCATAGTTTGGAACTTCACTTGCATTTGACTTTGAAATTAATGAAACCACTCACAGTGAGGTAACTAGCGAGGTCTCTCGTTGAAAGCTAGCTTTCCCCCCCCCCCATGAGTAGGATATAGAGGGAAAGTATTATATCTGTTGGGTATTTATTGTTGCTCTGTCCCTGTTGGAGAAATTTCCCCCTGAAGTTATGAGATTCGCCCCAGTGGGAACATGGCAATAATAAAAAAACCTGATGGAGGTTTTAACTACTTTGTACTAAAGTGTTTTTATTGCCATAAATGTCCCAGTTGCCTAGGCTGTTCTCAGTCTTGATCCAGTGAACGTGTAAGAAATGTGATAAAATTTCCCCAGCAGGATCATAAAAAGCTTTAGGAACCTGACAAGGGTTCTAAACCTTTACACACTATAGCCTAAATCTTTTTATGGCAGGAGGCATTGTAAAGAAATCAAGACAGTCTTCCTTGTTTAAAAGGAATTTATTATGAAGCCCAACACCATATCTGCTTTCTCTGAGGAAAGAAGGGTTTTTTAATAATTAACAAAATCATCTTAATATATTTGACCAATATTAATATCTTCACAGAATGACCTCTAACCTTGACCTGATGGAACTTACAGCCTCTCATGATCAAGATGTAGTAAACCCAGAGCTCATTCATATGGATCTCAAGACAGTTCTGGATGCTATTGCTGCAGTGAATATTACAGCATGCACTTCTAATGGTCAGCACATCCGGCAATATCTCTTGTCTTTATTAAATGTATGCTTTTGGTTCCAATGTGTATCTGCATCTCTGATCTTTATAGTAAGATGTAATCAGACTACTGATGTAACCATTATTACAAGATGGCTGAGCCTAACTGCTTGTAGCTGCTTTGGGAAGAATGTAAGTGTGTACTGACAGTGTGATTTCCATATATGATATGCTCTTTGTGGTCTCCTTCTTAATTCTAGTCTGCACTTGACCGAGGAGTAAGAATTTTGAAATATGGCCAAAAAACTTTGAGGACAGTTTCGGAAATGTTTAAGGTTATCCTTAGTTCATGTAAAAAATGCATAGCAATGTAGCTCCTCTGTTGCATTAATGGAGCCAGATTAACATGCACCTCTGAAATTGTACCCCAAATTCTTGTATAAACTGTTAGCAATGTGGCTCATCCATTGCATTAATGGAGCCAGATTACAATGCACACTCGACAAGACCTGTCCATAATCCTAGCTTCTGATAACATCTCAACCCTGGCATACTTTCCAACATGTTTCTGGTGCAGAATGTCCTGAGCCCACTTTCGGCTGTAGGACCGCCCATTCATACAAAATGTCTACATGTGTTTAATATTGTACAGTTGATACAGTATCCACCAGTGAAAACCAGGTAAGGCTCTATCCATGCTAGTAAATTCAGCAGCAGTTAATGTTTTACCCAGTATTTAGTTATTAAAGCATATAGCTACCCTTCTTTTTTTTTTTTTTTTTTTTTTTTTTTTTTTTTTTTAATACTTTTTTTTACAAATGTAGTGAAAGAATTAGTATATGTTTGGTATTAATTTCCTGTCCTCCAGTGCTCCCAGTGTCAATCTTATGTTCTCTGGACCTAGGATAAGAAATAATCAGGTAATTGTTGCTTATACCTGCTTTTTTTTCCTACAGTTTCTCAGCCTAAATTTAATGGAATTTCATTTAAAACCTTACCTAAAATATGGAAACATGAACAAACACCTGCTGAGAAATATTCTGTAAGTATCCGCTAGTGTGATAACTTCATTGATCAGTTATGTGTGAATATCTGGCACACTGTTCACTGTCATATTTTACAGCCTGTCCAAAGTCAAGAGCTCTGTTATCTTCAAGGTCAGATACAAAAATTGGCCATTCGCTTGTTATCTATAACAGAGATGCCAGAGTATAAACACTTGAGCTTTGAGGTAATATTGCTCTCAATATTTTTTATAATACATACTTGGTTAATCATTGACAATGTTGCACAGAATTTAACTGTGTTATTAAAAGTCCAGGGATAAAAGCAGTGATCACCTCGCTAAATATTATTCATGTTTGTTTAAAAAAAAAAAAAAAAAAAAATCATATCAGTCACAGCTGTAGCATGGAAGCAAGTAGTTAGTAGTATTCATCAAATGGTCGAATAAGTGGGTAGTTAAACCCTCACCCTACACTATGCTATTATATGGGTGTCATAACCCTTGAAGCCCCACGCTGAAAGCGTGTTATTGGTAGAGTGAGGAAGGCCCTGAACGTCTGACATTGGTTTTATTGCTGTCCATGAAAGCTTGTCCTGGTGATAACCACATCTCTAATTCATGTCTCTGTAACACCATAAGAAAGTATGATTCCAGACATCAGCAAGTTATACATAGTGAGGAACAGAAGTATTTGAACACCCTGCAATTTTGCAAGTTCTCCCACTTAGAAATCATGGAGGGGTCTGAAATTCACATTGTAGGTGCATTCCCACTCAGAGACAGAATTAGGAAAAAAAAAAAAAAAAATCAGGAAATCGCATTGTATGATTTTTAAAGAATTTATTTGTCTTGCACTGCTGAACATAAGTATTTGAACACCTGAGAAAATCAGTGTTAATATTTGGTACAGAAGCCTTTGTTTGCAATTACAGAGGTCAAACGTTTCCTGTAGTTCTTGACCAGGTTTGCACACACTGTAACAGGGATTTTGGCCCACTCCTCCACACAGATCTCCTCTAGATCTGTAAGGTTTCAGGGCTGTCGCTGAGCAACACGGGGTTTCAGCTCCCTCTAAAGATGTTCTATTGTATTTAGGTCTGAAGACTGGCTAGGCCACTCCAGAACCTTGATATGCTTCTTACGGAGCCACTCCTTTGGTTATCCTGGCTGTGTGCTTCGGGTCGTTGTCCTGTTGGAAGACCCAGCCACGACCCATCTTCAATGCTCTGACTGAGGGAAGGAGGTTGTTGCTCAAAAGCTCACAATAAATGGCCCCATTCATCCTCTCCTTAATACAGTGCAGTCGTCCTGTCCCCTTCGCAGAAAAGCACCCTCAAAGCGTGATGTTACCACCCCCATGCTTCACAGTAGGGATGGTGTTCTTGGGATGCAACTCATCCTTCTTTTTTCCTCCAAACATGACGAGTGAAGTTTAGACCAAAAAGTTCTACTTTGGTCTCCTCTGACCACATGACTTTCTCCCATGCCTCCTCTGGATCATCCAGATGGTAATTGGCAAACTTCAGATGGGCCTAGACATGTGATGACTTGAGCAGGGGAACCTTCCGTGCAATGCATGGTTTGAAACCATGATGGCGTAGTGTTCTACCGACAGTGACCTTTGGAACTGTGGTCCCACCTCTCTTCATGTCATTGACCAGCTTCTCCCTTGTAGTTCTGGGCTGATTCCTCACCTTTCTTATCATCAGTGATACCCCACGAGGTGAGATCTTGCATGGAGCCCCAGTCCGAGGGAGACTGACAGTTGACTTTAGCCTCTTCCATTTTCTAACAATTGCTCCAACAGTTGATCTATTTTCACCAAGCTGCCTGGCAATTGTCCCGTAGCCCTTTCCAGCCTTGTGGAGGTCTACAATTTTGTCTCTGGTGTCTTTTGACAGCTCTTTGGTCTTGCCCATGGTAGTAGTTGGCGTCTGACTAACTGTGGGGTGGAAAGGTGTCTTCAAAGAGCTCAGACAGGTGCTACTAAGTTAGATTAATGAGTGGAGTAGAGGTGGACTTTTTAAAGGCACAATAACAGGTCTTTGAGAGACAGAATTCTTGCTGTTTCTTAGGTGTTCAAGTACTTATGTTCAGCAGTGCAAGACAAATTCTTTAAAAATCATACAATGAGAGACAGAATTTTTTTTTTTTAATTCAGGAAATCAGAGTGTGAATGCACCTACAATGTGAATTTCAGACCCCTCCATGATTTCTAAGTGGGAGAACTTGCAAAATCGCAGGGTGTTCAAATACTTCTGTTCCTCACTGTAGTTACATTACTCTAGCTTGGAAAAGTGCAACTATGTATATGACATATGTGGCCGATGCCCCTGAAAGCTGGAAATCACCAAAGTAGACACTGCTACTCCAGTAATCTCCACTAGCTTCTGGGTCCTGTGCTGAGCGGCCGGTCTGATGCATTGTGAAAACAGGACGTTGGCTGATTCAGCACAGATGCCGTTTTCTGAATGAATGAAATGCGTTTTCTTATTAGATGAGGTGGTGCATGTGACATCACCACCTTGCCTCTACACCTCATAATGATTTGCATTCGTTCAGGAAATGCAAGGCATTCTCTGAAAGGTGTCTGTGCCAAGTGGCTAAACTTTTTTATTGGCAATGCAGGAGAGCAGCCACACAATGCAGGACCTGGAAACAAGTGAAGTTCACTGAAATAGCGATGTCATGTTCATTTTCCAGCTTCCAGTGGCATCAGCCATGTTATTTCTCCCATTTCAGGTTCTCTTGAATATGCGAGCCAAAAGTAAAAATTTGTTGGTGTGAGTTAGGAAACCTTGATATCCAAAGCTATTCAGTCATATGCAGTTGTGGTAGAATAGCAGGTTTTCAGCTATCACTCTGTTTTGCCAGAATTATCCTATCACAGTGTTTACTTTGTCAGTTTACTTGGCCTTAAGCTGGCCATACATGGATTGAAATTCGGCTGGTTCAGCAGGAACCATCTGTATTTCAATCCGTATATGGCTGTTCCTGTTCATGAAAAGTTTCTGTCAATCGACTTCTCACAATAGCGGTCTTCTCCTTCCTGTGAGTGCCCCCTTGGCAAGCCATGCACTGAGGTGGCACCCGTACATCCCTGCTCCCTCCCCAATGTAGGTAAAACCATCAACCCTTTCAAAATCAATGAAATATCACAGTGATAATATATTGGCGATAGAACAGAAAGCCACTGCCAAGAACTTGTACCTCAACAAACTGGTTGTGGTCCATTTCGCAATACAGCCAAGAGGCTTAATACTGCCTTCTCGTTCTTGTGTTTTTTTTAGATGATTGCTAGTCAGTACTCCCACATCTGTACTCTTAGGTTCTTGTAGGACATTTGTGAATGGTACCTACATGAGCACATATTTGTTTGCAGGCTTTACATTTTGCTTGTATTTAGTATCGCTGCTTATATTGCATTTTATTTATATTATATATATATATATATATATATATATATATATATATATATATATATATATATTTTGCGTCTATTTCTTTGATCACAGTTCTTGCTTTTTGGGTGGGAGGTTGTCAGGATTTTGATGTCATGACTTCTCAAGGAGTGTTCTTTTGGTTATTGTAGGTCTACTATATATGTATATGTTCTAATATTGCTGTATTCATTGTTACTAGGTCTCCATGATAAAGGGTAACAATGTGACCTAGAACAATGGCTCACTTGACTGTGACATTGCACTAATTTTGGCAACAGAGTGCTGATGGTGGCTCATCCTTCTGCCATCCCTACGAGTGCCCATTGTTTTAACACTGTAAGGAGCGCAGTCCCCCTGCTCAAATTTGTGCTTTTCAATGGGAACACTTTTTTAAGCACCCCTGGACAATTTTTTATGAACATTTCCTATTTTGTCCAAGACACGGTATCCACAACCTGGAATTTTGGTCTCTGCCTTCATCCCTGTGTGCTTAGCGTAACTTCATTCTGCTCTGGTGCATCTTCTCTCTTGGGAGGTCATAGTTTCCCCAGCAGAGTGGGAGGTTTTTAGGTTTCTACCCAAACCTGTTCACTATCCCCACAGGAAAAGGTGGCATCCCCACCCCATTTTGGAATTGAAGGTTTTCCGTATCTTCTGGGTGCTAAATTTCAGTTTGGAATCCACCCTGTGCCAACATCTCCCTTCATCCTGGAGAAATACTGGCCTTTCTGGACATCAAGACCAGTGCTCGTATGTCCCCATTATTTCTGCCTGCATTTGATGTGGCTACACATTATTACCATTTGTTGCTCTGCTCTTTTGGCCCTGTCCACTCCACCTCGGGTCATCACCAAGATGCTGGCCCCTATTCTTGCTCTGCTTTTGATTTCAAGGCATCCCCATAGTGGGATATTGGTACAACCACCTTCTGAGGAAATCGCTGCCTCAGATGTCAGCCAACATCCATTGGACTGTACTGACTTTGCAAAAATTTGGGTGGATCATGAATCTTCTGAATTCAGCATTGGAACTGCCACATTTCTTGGGGTATCTGGGCCTGGCCTTAGACATGGTCCTGTTTTTTTTTTTAATTTTTTTTTGTTCCCTTCCCTTGGATAAATCCCAGCCTATCTTCTCCTGTCTTCTCCTGCATTTGGACTGTGCAGTTCAGAAGCCAGTCAACCCTCTGCTTTGCATGAGGGTCTTCAGCCTAATGGTGTCCTTTTTCGAGGCAGTTCCATGCGCCCATTTTTCACTGTAGGCCATTGCAACTCAACATTCCAGCAGCATGAGACAGGAGGGTGCAGTCAGGCTTGTCCTGGCATGGTGGGGCACAAGTTTTGGTGCTGAAATTTGAGAAAACATTCCTCGAGTTGGTTTGGAATGTACTAATGACAGATGTCAGCCTATTGGACTAGAGAGAAGTCCTAGATACCCTCTCGGTTCAAGGGAACTAAATCATCAAAGTAATCCTGTCTCCAGATATATATTCTAGAAATTCTGGCATGGGCAGGACTCCATGTACCAGCCTTGACCACTATGCACATTCCAGGTGGAGAAAATTGTCACGCAGATCTCAGCCATTAACATCTGGATCTAGGAAAATGGTCCATTCACTGAGAGGTGTTTCAAGTTCTCTGTCACAGGTTGGGGATGCCAGTGGATGAAGCCAGACTTGGGCCTCAGACCACCAGGTGCGAAGGTTCAAACCTGAGCAGGTTTGTTTCCAGGTCTAGGCATCTTTTAGTTTTCACAATGGATGCCCTAGTGACGATCTGGGACAAGTTCAGCCTGTTCTTTTCCTTTCCTTCTTGCCTACTACTCAGGATCAAGATGGAGGGTATTCTGGTGATACCCATTGCACCAAACTGACTCAGGAGGATGTCATACTCAGGCATACTCAGACTCCTGGCAGGCTCTCTGTGGGTCCTCCTGGTGAGTCCAGATTTCATGTCTTGGGGACTGATCTATCATTTATCTTTTTAGTCACTTGGCGTTGAAGCCCAGGTCCCTAGGGACAGGAACCCTATTGGATTTGGTCATTCCCATGATTTGAAATCTAGAATTTCAACTTCCTCCAAGTCTACCATCGCACTTGAAATGCTTATTTCTCCTGGTGTTAGGCTGGACAGTTCCACCTCTCTGGGACAGATCTGTTTTTCCTCCCATCTGGTCTGCATCAGTGGATACTCTTGCATGCCCTCAAGTGTCAATTTTTGGCTGTAGCTGTCCTTGTTCGAAGACTGCCTCTTCATTGGTGAAAGCCTTGTGCAGGGTGTTTTCTCAGTTGGCTTCTGTACCTTTTTTTTACCTATGAAATTTTGAGATTTCAACCCAGTCTTGTCAGTCCATCAGAAGCTGCTCTTTTAACCTATCAAGGAGATTCCTCTGTCGATACTTATAAGGTTGCCTTAATTTGATGCTATTACCTTTGCGAGGTGAGTCTCTTGAGTTAGCAGTGTTTTTTCTTGTAAAGAGTCCTTCTTGTGGTTACACAGGAATAAGGTTGTATTAAGGCCTTCTATCTTTCTAATGGGTCTTTTTCTTCCCTTTAGGCCTCATTCACACAGGGCTTACTAAAATGTACTTCCATGAAGGGGTGTTCTTACCCGCACGGGGATGCACATGTTTTCTGTGCATTCCCGTGAGATCTGTCAGTGCTTCGTGGGCTTTTCAACAACAGGCATCTATTTCACAGATTTGCAAGGTTGCCTACTTGGTCATTGGATAACATGTTTGTTTAGTTTTTCCAAGGAGATATTCAGGCCCAATGCCAGTTTTGGGTGTGTGCTCTTTGGGCTTCTCTGAGTTTTCAAGCCCTTTTCCTGTTTGTTACATATGCCTGTTGACTTTGTTGCTGTGTTGCCCACTCCTCAGTTGCATTGTTTTTAGACACCCCAACCCTCAGATTCTTTGTCCTGAAATGTAAGGTTCAGAAAATAAAATTCTATTTTCCGCATTACATTACCAGATGCAGGTCCCTCCCCTCTGTTTTGATTGATTTGGTACACCGATCCCTCCCCTTTGTTTTTTCTGATTCAGTCCGTGAGGCTTGCTGTAGGTGGTGATAGGGCCTTGCAGCTTTGTTTGCCAGTGTCAATGTTTTCTGCATATCCCATAGTATAAGACTAGAATCCTGTGTCCTTTAATTTTTGTCTGAGAAGGATTTTACTGGCAAGTCTAAAATCCTATTTTTGGACTAACAATGGATGAATAATGATAGAAAAATACAGTCTTAATATGTATTATTACATTGGCCTATAAATGGATGCGTTACCTGTGCATAATGCTTTTATGGATCTAGGTGATTTATGAAGATCTGCCACAAATAACATGTAAAAAAAATATATATATATATATATATATATATATATATATATATATATATATATATATATATATATATATATATATATATATATATATATATATATATATATATATATATATATATATTTTTTTTTGTTTTTATATAACCTAAGAATTTTTGTTCTGAAGCCTTGCTTTCTCCGGTAGGAACTTCGAAATAAATATTACGAGGACTCGGTCAAACAGGAAAATGGAGTTTCTTTGCCTGAAGGAAAAGTGCAGGCTTTGTCTAATGTTGAAGACAGTCCTAAACTTGAGAACGGCCGAAGCAGATAGATTAAGTGCTAAAATTAGAAGATCAGATTTTTCTGTGGCCTGTTCCAGCATTACAAATACACAAGAAACCATTGCCAAGACTGAATCAAAAATGGAGATTGCACAGGAGCCTCAAAAGGAAGCTTTATTTAAGTTCCCGACCTGTGCCGCAGTTAGGGCCAAAGAACCTGTGCGCTTTTCCTTTAAAGGAGTAGCCAATGACCTGACCCTTGGTAATAAGGCTCAGAAAGAGACTGAAGTTCTGAAAGAAACAAATATAACCAAGGTTGTTCCAAGCTTTTGTTTGGGTAAGTCGGATACCACAGATTTAACAAAGCCTAGCAAAAATGGAAAGTCGTGGAAAAAACCAAAGACTGCATCATTTTTACAGACCACAGCAAATGCTGAATCATCTATAAGCAAGCCATTTTTCATTTTTAGCAATAAAATGGACCCCACTGAAACCAAAGTTACATGTCCGTTTTACAATCCATTCAGCCAGCTGGAGTGTAAAGCACAAGGAAATAAAGATAAGTCATGTAAGTTTTTTTTTTTTTTTTTTTTTTTTTTTTTTCCTATGGTTGTCTTATACAATAGATTTGTAACGTCTTGTGTTTTTATAGAGAAACAATTTTAAAATGTTCCAATTTTTTTGCAGCCCCGGAGGACCATGCTGCACAATCTAGCAGTTGCGAAGAATTTTATGATGCTAACTCAGATGCAGACGAGACCGAACAAGCCAGGCCATCTAACAGTACAGGTGATGGCTCATCAGGCACTATAATGTGCTAGCCATGAGATATATGCTTGTGAACGTCTAAAAATTAAACTGTTAGTAATGTTTTTATGTATTTGTGTACATTTTATTTTTTTTTGTCAGGTAGATATTTAATACAGCTTATTAACAATTGCCACTGCAGCTAAAATATGGCAATCTCGAGTCTATTCAGACTTACTGCTATGCTGTGAATAGACTGATTACTGGATATTGTAAACAGATCTGAACAGCAGGAAACTAGATAACACATACACAGATGAATGGGTCAAAGGCGGGACCAATCCTTCTATCAGAAGGAAATCCGTATAAGTTTTTAAAAAGTCAGAAAATCTTTTACACAGACCGTTTTCTACTGGAAGGCCTAGCATGCTTTGCAAACCAAGCCTAAGCAATCTTCTTTAAATCATTGGAAATCAATTGTCCAACAGTAAAAATTATTTTTTTAAGCTTTCAAAAAAATAAATAAAAACTAACAAACTATTATAGCTTTTGTTTAAAGTGGGCGTACCAAAAAAAGAACTGTGACAGTTGCTGCTGCTGCCATAGCTTACTGATTAGCTTGCCTCTATAAAGCAGCAGCACCTGAAACAAGTATGCAGCAAATATTTAGTCATCTATTCTTTTTGCAGACCAGGAACAGCAGAATCCAGGCGACCAGAGTTTGCAGAAGAAAGACAGTAAGAACAGCTAACATATTTCTACCATGAGAGATGTACTCTTAAACCTGAAAAGTCAAATGATTAAATACTTGCAAAAACAAAAACTGTTTTTTTTATTGCAGACTGCCAATTTTTAGATGTGGAGGCTGCATTCATTTTTATTTTTTTTTTAAAGGCTTCTTTTCCTGTATTTTCACCTACTGATCCAGCCAGTAAGTCCGTTTATATATCAACTTTCTTTAATAGACCAAGCTGTCCAGTAGCAGTTGAAGGCTTGAGACAAACCATTTAACTGTGACGGGGGCTTACAATGGTCAGGTTTTATTCATTTATGTAAAACGTTATCAGATTTGTCAAAAAATCTTTTGCTCTAACTGCTTCAAAAGTGGCTTGATTGTTGTTTGGTTAACCCTAAGATACTTTGTTACTGACTGGATCAGCAGGATAAATTTACCTTTTGGAACATTACATGTTCTACCTGATTTTAGGGTGGAATATGTAACTTGTTCCAGCAGCTACAACCTCTACCCCTTCCTGTGACAGCAGGCGGGGGTTCTCCCCATGCTCGCTGTCACAATTTGAAACAATGCTGCGCAGGGCTCTGCCCACAAGGCCGTGACATTAATTCACAGTTTCCTCTGAATGAATGCCTACAAGTACTGTCAGCCTTTGCGGCTCACAGGTTGTAGTTCTCAATGTACTGCGAGGGTGCTGGTGAGTGCTCTTTGTCCATTGAGCTTCCTGGACTGCAGTAGCTGCCTGCCCATATCTGAGGTACGGGCAGACAGTGTACTGACACTTCACCTGTGATCTGCTGATCACAGGTGCAATGATGATGTACAGGCTTCCAAGAAAAAATGAGGCACTTAAAAACAACAACACACCATCTTTTTCCAGAGCAGCCTGTATTTCTTTTGAGGTTGCCTGTGTGTTTTTTTCTTTTAATCCCGGACAATTCTTCTGTCAATTATGGCTGCAATCTTTCTTGGTCTACTTGCCCTTGGCTTGGTATCAAGAGATCCCCGAACTTTCCACTTCTTAATAGGTGATTTAACAGTACTGATTGGCATATTCAAGGCCTTTGGACATCTTTTATGTCCTTTTCCATCTTTATAAAGCTCCATTACCTTGTTAAGCAGGAATTTTGACAGTTCTTTTCTGATCCCCATGGCTCAGTATCTAGCCTAGTCAGTGCTTCCACGTACGAGCTAACAAACTCATTGACTATTTATACACTGACACTAATTTCAATTTAGAAAGCCACAGATGTGGGACATTAACCTCTAATTGGCATTTTAACTCGTGTGTGTCACCTTGTATGTCTGTACCAAGGCCAAACATTCCAGGGTATGTAAACTTTTGATCATGGCCATTTGGGTGATTTCTGTTATGATTTAAAAAGGAGTCAAACAACTGTTTGATAATAAATGGCTTCATATGATCATCATCCTTCAATAAAAGAGCATTTTTTGGCATGATCAGTCATATTTTCAATATCAATGCTAAAATGTCACAATTTCTGCCAGGGTATGTAAACTTTTGAGCACAAATGTATGGATAGATAGAGTATCTCACAGAAGTGAGTACACCCCTCTCATTTTTGTAACTATTTTATTATATCTTATGTGACAACACTGAAGAAATTACACTTTTTTACAATGTAAAGTAGTGAGTGTACAGCTTGTATAATAGTGTAAATTTGCTGTCCCCTCAAAATAACTCAACACACAGCCATTAATGTCTAAACCGCTGGCAACAAAAATGAGTACACCCCTAAGTGAAAATGTCCAAATTGGGCCCAAAGTGTCAATATTTTGTGTGGCCACCATTATTTTCCAGCACTGCCTTAACCCTCTTGGGCATGGAGTTCACCGGTTGCCACTGGATTCCTCTCTCCACTCCTCTATGACGACATCACAGGCTATCCCCGCTTCAGTCGATCCTGAATCAGGCAGCCAGACTCATTCAGCTTACCAACCGCTCTGTTTCCGCCACCCCCCTCTGCCAATCCCTCCACTGGGTTCCGATTGCGCAACGGATCAAATTCAAAATCCTAACACTGACGTACAAAGCTGTCCACCATACTGCCCCAAATTACATCACCGACCTAATATCCAAGTACCACCCTACACGCACACTCCGCTCCTCACAAGACCTCCTTCTGTCTAGTTCCCTGGTCTCCTCCTCCCAAGCCTGCCTCCAGGATTTCTCCAGGGTTTCACCCATCCTCTGAAACTCCCTGCCCCAACCCAACAGACTATCACCTACTCTCCTCTCCTTTAGGTGCACCCTGAAAACCCACCTCTTCAGGGAAGCCTACCCCACCCCCTGCTAATTTGCCAACCTCCTCCACTCTTCCTACCACTCCATCCCCCAAAGCTATCTCCTCCTGTACCACTATCCCCTCCCTCCTAGATTGTAAGCTCAAAAGAGCAGGGTCCTCGAACCCCTCGTGTATCGCATTGTATTGTTATTGTACTGTCGCATGTTCTGTCCCCGTTTGTAATGTACAGCGCTGAGCGAACTGTTGGCTCTTTATAAATACTGTATAATAATAATGGTGAATGTTAGAGACCTTGCGCTCCTCTGCCTTCCGTTTGAGGATGCCCCACAGATGCTCAATAGGGTTTAAGTCTGGAGACCTGCTTGGCCAGTCCATCACTTTTACCCTCAGCTTCTTTAGCAAGGCAGTGGTCATCTTGGAGGTGTGTTTGGGGTCGTTATGTTGGGTATGTCACAGTACATGTTGGCATTCATGGTTCCCTCAATGAACTGTAGCTTCCCAGTGCTGACAGCACTCGTGCAGCTCCAGACCATGACACTCCCATCACCCATGCTTGACTGTAGGCAAGACACACTTGTCTTTGTACTCCTCACCTGGTTGCCGCCACACACACTTGACACCATCTGAACCACCACGTGAACTCAGCTTCTTTGTTGACCATGGCGAGGCCTGTTCTGAGTGGAACCTGTCCTGATAAACTGCTCTATGGTCTTGGCCACCATCCTGCAGCTCAGTTTCAGGGTCTTGGCAATCTTCTTATAGCCTCGGCCATCTTTATGTAGAGCAACAATTTTTTTTTTTTTTTTCAGATCCTCAGAGAATTCTTTGCCATGAGGTGCCATGTTGAACTTCCAGTGACCAGTATGAGAGGGAGAGTGATAACACCAAATTTAACACACCTGCTCCCCATTCACACCTGAGACTTTGTAACACTAAGGAGTCATATAACACCGGTGAGGGAAAATGGCTAATTTGGCCCAATTTGGACATTTTCATTTAGGGGTGTACTCACTTTTGTTGCCAGTGGTTTAGACATTAATGGCTGTATGTTGAGTTATTTTGAGGGGACAGCAAATTTCACACTGTTAAACAAGCTGTACACCCACTACTTTACTTTGTAACAAAGTGTCATTTCTTCAGTGTTGTCACATGAAAAGATATAATAAAATGTTTACAAAAATGTGAGGGGTGTACTCACTTCTGTGAGAGTGTGTATATATGTGTGAGATGGAGAGATAGATATATATTCACAAACCAAAGATGTGTGTGAAAAAGTGTCATTCTGTCAACCAAAAAAAAAAAATGTAAACATTTCTTAAATTAATCAGGTTAAAGTTTGTAATACAAATGATTGTGTATAAATTCTCAAACCACACTTAAAGGGCAACAATAAAATGCAAATAGCTGACAAAATATATCCACAGTCACTCATAATGAGTTGGTGCATTAGCTCCACTATGCAAAGAAATAATGCATGGGACCCGGAGAAGCAAGTGGTATGGTATATGCATGGTTACATTGGCCCAAGCTGGATGTAGAATGTATCCATGCCTAGAATTTATTCATTAAACAAAATGTTATATTTTTATAATAGAAACAATGTAGCCTTTTTGTTTTATTTACAGTATTTGAATGCTACTGAGAAGAAAACTCTTCTAACCACTTGCAGACCAAGCCTTTTCTGACACGTTCATTACATTTTCTGCTAGAAAATTACTTTGAACCCCCCAAACATTTATCCTTTTTTTTTTTTTTTTTTTTTTTTTTTTTTTTTAGTAGAGGCCCTACAGAAGAAAACAGATGCTGCAATTTTTTTTGTCACGGTATTTACGTACGATTTTTTTTTTTTTTTCCCTCCAAGCTCATTTTTTGGAAAAAAAATACACTTTTTTTTTTTTAATTTTAATGCACAAAAACGCAATATATTGCCCTATTGTTTGATAAAAACTATAAGAGGATGTTATGCTGAGCAAATGGATACCAAATATGACATGCTTTAAAATTGTGTATATCCGTGCAACGACGACAAACTATGTAAATCTTTAATATCCATAGGCAATGTTTTAAAAGCCTTTACAGGTTACCATTTTAGATTTACACAGGAGGTCTAGTGCTAGAACTACTGCCCTCGGTCTGACATGCACAGTGATATCTGTTTATATACCAACAGTGGACCGATGCTTGTATTTGCCTTTGCGTGTGAGCAGGGGGCGGTGTTTAATTATTTTGCGCCCTTTTTTTTTTTTTTTTTTTTTTTTTTTTTTTACTTTACACAAATCATTGTAGGAGCAATAAAAAATATTGTTCAGCAATGCCTTTGAACTGTCATGAATGGGTTAAGTTCATGACCGTTCATAATACAGTGATCTGTGACTGGCTTCAGCTGGTCACATGGTGCAGGGTGCAGTGATTGGCCCATGTACCATGTGAGAGCTGTGGGCCAATCACAGCTCACCAGGAACAGAAGCAAAGCTGTTATGAATCAGATTGATTCATAACTGCTTTGCTAGCATTGTTATCATGGCAATCACTTATTCACCGGCTCCTGATTACCGGGATCCTCATTCTGCTGTGTCCTGTGAACACAGTAGTTGCGGGGGAAAGCGCAGCATCCCTTTGGATTAGTACAGGCAGAGTGACATACCAGTATGTTGCTTTGCCTGTAGCTGCCGCCTGTAAAAGTACTGTGAGTAGTCGGAAAGTGGTTGATAGTGTGATGCCTTTTCCCTTGTGGTATGA